TCCGAGCTTGAGATCGATGACAACACGCTTGCCGAAGCTGTCAGGGCGATGGGGCTCAATGTGTGGGATGAGGAAGCCAACGAGGCGATGGATGATGCGGCACTTGAGGCAGATTTACGAGATGCTCACATCCAGGAGAGCAATGACTGGTACCCGTTCCGAAAGAAAGAGGCAAGTCTGCAAACTCAAATTGGGTCTGACAAGATGTCAATACTCTTACTGACTCCAGTTCCTATCTCAGCATGTCGTTGCATTGTTGATTGTCGGATCCACAAGAAACATCCTATCAAGATCACAATACCACCGAATTCGCTCTATTTTGCGAATTTGTGAAGTCCGACTCCCAGAATGGGGCGCTTTGCGTGCTTTATGCAAACGTTTAAAGAAGCAAATGGGGCTTTCCGTCTCTGAACGTACGAGTCCATCAGGAATGCCACTTTTTGGCTTGAAAGTCAAGACAATCATCGCCAACGCAAGTATTCTGTGATCTTTTGCACAAAAGGTCACATACATGAGCTGACAGTGCTATTTTGCATTCCACAGGAGCTAGCCAACCCGTTGATCAGCCCACATCTGATTGCTGTACCCGAAAAACCTGTGGATCAAAATGATCCAATCAACCGGTTATCCCAGAGTGAGAAGTGGCGAGAGGGATTTGATAAGGATCTCAGAGTCCAAATGGTCTCCTCCAATCACGTTCACTATTACATATATGAACCTGTTCAAATTTTCTCAGATCAGATTGTTGTCCCGGCATTCTTTTATCAACAAGGAGGTGTATTGAAGGCCAAATGCCTTCCAGCCACTGTAACTCCAGACCCCCATTACCCAATCATGTACCAAATTTATATCCCTCCAGAGCCAACTTTTGATTCGACTGTTTTTTTAACCGTCTCTCTTACTGAGTTCTGGAGAACTGCTCAGCAAATTGAGGTGGATGAAGGGCGTTGCCTCAAAGATGTTTGCGGTCAATACCTATATCGTATGTGCCCTTCTTGAATGTTCCAGTGAAAAATACCTATTGATGTTTGTTTTATCTCCTTCCAGAGAAAATTCCTTTGGGTGCATTCAATCCACTACCTATGGAAAACCCATGGCGCGCGAGAGCCGATGGCCGCACCATTAAGCATGTGCCGATCACATTGTACTCCGACGATACGTCTGGCAACGTTTCCAAAAAATGGAACAAACATATGAGCGTTTTTTTTACCTTATCTGGTCTACCTCCGAAGATGACGAACCAAGAGTACAATATACACTTTCTTGCGACTTCAAACTGTGCATCCGCGCTAGACTTGATGGATGAGGTAGTCGACGATATTAAGTAAGTCCAAGACTCACTCAAAGTTCTCTTCTGTTGCTATTCTGCTCTTTCGCTGGAATGATGTTGATACGAGTTGTTGTTTCTCTATGTTAGTGACAGCAGCGCAAATGGTTTTGTTGCTTATGATCACGCAACAAGTAAGGAAGTGCTAGTGATGGTGGTGGTGTTATGCCACCTGGGAGATGGCCCCATGCACGCGGAAATCAGCAATACAACCAACCCAGCGAACACATTATCTCCTTGCCGGATATGCCCTTTACGTGTGGATCGTATGATTAAAAGAGGACGGAAGAGTATGTGTGTGCATTTATTGGTATCAATTCTGAC